ATATATATATAATATATATATACATATATATATATATATATATATATATATATATATATATATATATATATATAATGCATATATATAATGCATAGATATAAATATATAAAATGCAAGATTTAAGGAGATTGTAAGGTTTAAAGTTATATTGACATACCTATCCAATGTAGTTCATTCTTCCAAATATTTTCATATCTGTCGCTGAAGAGATGTAAGAAATTGTTAAGATGTAGTCTACAAGAAATGAAAAGATTATGTATAAATATATATAAATATGAAAAGTAATATGTAATATTAAATTTGTAATACTAATGCAAGATGCTAAAAATACAAAAATTAATATAAAAATCTTTTTAACTTATTTAAAATTAATTTTATAAAATAAGATAAAAGTTATTAACTTTTAATTTTATTACTTAATTTTTAATTAGTTATTGTTCAATCTTAATATATGTATGTTTAACTAACCTGTTACAAAATGTCTTTGAATTTCCATTATCTTATTATCTCAACTTTTGCTTTCAAAACTTACGATGCCCATTTATTTCGATTGTTTTCAAACATTTTAGCTTTAGTTCTTCATCAATTATCAATTTACCTAGATTATCTGTAAGTACAATATTTATTACTTATTTATTATAATATTTACAATATTTATTATTTATTACTATTATTTATTACTTAGCTTGTTTACATTTTTACCCACTAAGTTTTATTAAGTTTTTTTACTGGGTTTTATTCGGCTATTTTGAGGTTTCTTTATTTTTAAAATTTTATTGGAGTTTTGAAAATTTCGGAAAATAACGCGTCCATGTGGATACGTACATGCGAATATGTGTGAATTCGATAGCTTACGCATACGTTTCATCGATTGCAAAACAACGCCGCCCTTGAAGGGTGGCTGATAAGCATAATTATTTCTGCGTGATAACTATCGACAGGCTACCTGGCATTATCGATCGGATGATTTAGAATCGATCGTCGTGGATCGTCACGCGCGCTTCGCGTGTTCCGCGTCACGCACTCAGGCATGATTACTTGGCAATTTCGAACAAATTACGTTATTTACCGAAAATAATTACAATGTATGCTCACCACAAAAATAGTTTTATATTTGTGACCTGAAAATATGTATTACACTTTATAAATAAAAATACTCACTTTCTGTAGACAGAATCAAATATTGCCTTCAAAGATAAAAATATATTTCAACAAAGTTGCAACATTTCTTGTTTCATGATAAACTGCCTTGCTTTCCATTGTACCTTAATATGATTATGCTTTTGGACTAAATATATTTTTCCATCAATTTTAAGAATGCCAGAACATTGTGTTGATCAATGTATATTACATCGTAGAATATTTATATTACGAGAATCTTTGTTATAAGTGTAACCATCGTAAATAAATTACAGTACCAGGTTTCTTTCCACATATTTCTTCCATCTAGAGAATAATGAAAAAGAAAACATTAATACTAACAATGTGCCTTGAAAAAAATGAAATTAAAAGTTAGCAAGAATGATTTTAGGTCAAAATAATTAATAGTCTCAAAATGTCAAAGTATAAGCATTCTTTATATAAATTCTTAAACCATCACAAAATTCATTCATCGAACAAATTTTTTTTTAATCATTAATAATACGTAACAATTAGCTGCATTTGGAAGAGTTTAGTATTTATTATCTGTATATATGCGCGTATGCATGTGTGTAAAGAAGGCTTTAATATACAAAATATAAATATTTAGTCTTCAATGTATTTTCTAATGCAATTAATATAGTAATATAAATTAATTTTAATCTTGACAATTACTGAGCTATTATATAATCCCTGCAAACGTTGAGTATAAATGTCATACAACCATATATGTAACACATGTCCTTACTGTATGTAAGCATTTATATTCGAAGTTTGCTAGGATCGATGTATTTTGAATAGAATTGTTAAATCTTATTACTTTAAGTCATTTCTTTTAATAGATACTTTAATAAAATTATATATGCATGCAAATCATCTTGAAAGATGATGTAATATGATGTAATATGTAAAAATTAATATTCTACTGCTATAAATTTTGTATACATAAATAGAATCTATATCACAGCGTACGATGTAAAATACTAAGTGACTGTGTAATATTATCATCAGCAATTTTTGTAAATTATTTAGGTCACATTTGCAGACAGTTTAACTACATGCTTATTATTATTATTATTATTATTATTATTAAATATTTCAAAAAGCAAATTACTGGCTAAATAAAATTTCTAAGAATTATGTACTATTTTATCCACAATTATATTTTTATAATTAGTGCAATGGTGAAAAGTGTTTCATCAATGTCAGAAGCGTCTATTTGGACGGTACTGATAAAAATTATAATCAGAAGCGTCTGTTCTGACAGTACTTGCAAAATGAATGTCAGAAGCGTCAGTTCTGGCAGTACTGGTTATTACAAATAAATTATATGTAAACAATCAGAGAGACAAGAAAAAAATATCAATT